TCTCTCTCTCTCTCTCTCTCTCTCAAGCTCGGTACAGCGCGTGGCTCAAGGGACGGACAGGCTTGGTCTGCTCCAAATGGAGCGCAAATTCGAGGCACTGTCTCGCCTTTTCCCTTCTGGAAGTCTTCGAAGCGACCTGTCCCAAGTACAGCCAAGCCTCTGGCGAGTCCCATCCATGACTCAGGGTGATGCTGGTGAGCAGACCTTCTGCCAGGCTTGATGCGCTCAGTTCGCGCTTCTCCGCACTGCTGTGAGCATCTGCAGTGCTAGAGTACGGCGAAAGCTTGCTTCCTGCTCCCCTACCGCCAGATTGACCAGTCGCAGAGACTTGCTCATCGCGCGCTCGGTCGACGTGCTGCACCAGTGCATTGGGCGTGGATGATTGGGCTTGGGTGGCCAACGAAGCTTCCAAAACCACTTGTGGAACGCTCGACGGAGAGTGATCCGGGTTCGCCAAGAAGATTCTGGCCAGATGAACAACGGCCGCAATGTTGTCTCCTTGGCAGGCCAGCGCTTTGTACAATGACGCCAGAGCGAGCTGCAAGTCGTCTTGTTCGAACCACAAGGCCAACTGCAACCAGACTTCTGATCGAGCAGGCTCGATCCTTTCGGCCTCTTGGACGGCTACGCGACACTCGCTGTGCTTACCGGCCCGTCGGAAGCTCGATGCGCTCATCAGCCAAAGTGTTCCGAGCAGCTCGCGCTCTTGACGTCCTCGCTGTTGCTCCCGCAGCGCTGCAGCCGTGGCCGTCTCGTCGACCTTTTCGCTGTGCGCCGAGCTGGCAGGTAGAGGGACTGCGCCAGCCGATGCTGGCTCATCCGTGGCCACGGGATGACGACGGCGGTGCAAAGAGTGGATGAGAGTAGATGCGCGTGAAGGGGTCGCACCGCTTTGACCCATTCCTGACATGGATCCGAACCGATGAGGAGCAGTGCCGCTGGACGACAGCAGCGTCGATAGGCGTCCACGCTTGTCCGCCGCGGCCTTTGGATCGGCTGCGGCCTTGCGTGGAGCTGGCGCCGCGACCGTAGTGGCCACTCGCTTGTGGAAGAATTCAAATATTTCTCTTTGACCCTCGATCGCTGCGTCTGTGCCTTCGACGAGCTCCTCCAGAGCATTATGCGTGATCATGAGTCGCAGCACAGCTTCAGCTCGCTCAGCGTAAGAGGGCGGATAGTCGACGCTGAGCAAGACAGTGCGAGCCAAGGTGAGCTTTTCGCTCGGTTTGCCGTTAGGGATCCCATTGGATTGCGGGAATGCACCGCTGGCACTCCTCGGGGAGGCCGGGGAAGTCGGAGTTGCAAGGCCACGAAGAAGTGCTTGGGCATCAGCTTCGTCGTCATCCTCCGCGCCTGCAAGACCTTCTTCAGCGATTCGCAGAGCTCCTTTGAAGTCCTTTTGCGCGGATCGCAGCAGAGTTAGGAGATGCCAGGTCTGCACGTCCGCAGGCTCGAGCTCGACTGCTCTCCTTGCGGAGCGGATGGCTGAGGGGATGTCGCGCATCTCGGCCTGAAGGTACGCGAGCTGGTAGTATGTCTCCGAAGACTGATCCTCGAGCGTTGCGGATTGCTTCAACAAGCTCAACGCTTCATCGTGCAGTTCTTGGCGACGGTGAGGCGTGGCATCGTGCGCACAGAAAGCAGCTCGTGCGGTTCCAGCCACTCGCTTCGCGCGAGCGACGAGGTTGCGGCTGTTTCCGAGCTTGGTGCTGGCAGCAACCTTATCCAGCGCTTTGCGAGCAATGCGGTCCGACGCTTCCGCGTCGCCAAGATAGCGCGTGAGGACGTGAGCGCCGTACAACAGCGTTGAGACGAACACCTCCTCATCGTCGTGATCCTGAAGAGCTGCCTCACCAGCCTTCTTGGCCGCATCTGAGATGCCATTCGTTTGGCGAGGATCAGTGTCGCCGTCGCGCTCCTCCACTTTGTTTTCTTGAATCTCATAGCCCCGCGCGTCGTCTTCCTCCTTGCGCATGCGAGCCTCCTCTACCAGTGCGGAAGATCCTGCGGCATCAGCCTCCGCCGCTTTCTCGAAAATCTGGATGTACAATTCGAGAGCGAGGCGAGCTTCGTCGTATGCTTCTGCTGCGACGAGCACGGTGAAGAGATGTCTGCTGACGCGCTGTGAGTGAAACGTGATTTTTGTCAGGCTGTAGAGGATCTGTTAGCGGAGCAGTGAAGCTGATCAGCTTCTGAAACTCTGGCATGGCGGCGTGGGGCGAGGCTAACCGAGGTCTCACCTCGACGATCTCATCCGCATGCTCGCCAGCCTGCTCGCCATTGAGTTGCCAGCCTTTGACCACCGCGTCAGCCAGCTGCAGAGCCGAGATGTTGACCTGACCAGCACGAGGGAACTCGGTCGAGCGAAGGATAGATGCCGCTGCGGATGCTTGCACAGTCAAGAGCTCGTTGCTCCAAGTAGCGCTGGAAGGACGAAGAGCTCGATGAGGAGCAGGTCTACGGGTGGAGGTGGTTCTGGAAGTGATGCCACGACCTTCTGCGCCAAGCATGCGTCGAGCCTGTCCATGCCGTGGTACTCGCTCCGCCTCAAAGTCCCGAATGGTCATGCGCGCCGCGACGCTGTTGACTACACTCTTTTGGTATGCAAAGCTTCTCCAGTCATCTTTGCTGGCCGTAGTTGGCGCAGGGAGGCCAACGTATCCGCCTTGCTCTACGGAGGTATTGAGAAGATTCAAGTATGTGCGGTAGATTGCGTTACGTTGCGGGTTGCGGAAAGAAGCTGGCCAACGTCCGGTGTGCGCCTGATAGGCGCGCAGAGCATTCAGCCCGAGGGAAAGATCTCTGTGGACAGGTAGGCGCTGTGAGCATGCCTTCGCCGACAGCGAAAATGCGCGATTCAGAATACTAGGCACTCACCCGTGCCTGACGCTGAACAATGCATTGCGGTACAGAGCTGTCTCTCCCCATGCTTCGATCTCGTCTGCGGGTAGACCACGCAAAGCGCCAGCCTTCTTGCCTCCCCGTACACCTTCGTGTAGGTCGATAGCACGAGCATAACCCGCCAAGACAAAGGGGCGAAAATCATCGTTGTTGCGAGATGCGTGCAAGCGCTCATTTGCCATGCCATAGACGCAGAAACCTAGAAGCATGAGCGCAACAGCGTAGTCCTCCGAGTGATCTCCAGCCTTCAGAGCATCCAGGTTGACCTCCTCCAAGAATTTTGTGTTGTGAAGCAAGCCGATGGCATCCTCGTCTTTGCCGACAGAGAACAGAGCGTACGCACGCAATGCTGCCACGCTGTGCTTCGCCAGGTCATCGCCTCTGGCCGAAGCTGCCAGGTCTTCCAAGCGATTGTTGGCTGCAAGAATCTCCTTGCCGGACCACCCTTCTCCCGACTCGTCTGCTGGGATAGGCTCTGGAAGCACAGTAGTACCTTTCTGCCCTGGAATAGCAACATCGGCGTCGTGCGACGAATCGGAGTAGCTACTCTTTTGACTCTGGAAAGCGGCAATGGAAGCGTGCAGCTGCTGCTCCACGCTAGCCACGCCTGGCGTGACTGAAGACGGCATTGCGAGAGAGACTGTCAGCTCGTTGCTCCCACGTCTCTCGAATAATGTGTTTCTCACCTGGACTGTCGGGATTGTGCTTCATGTATTTCCGAATGAGCTCGGGCCAGGTGACGTTCTTGCCCTTGCCTGCGAGGTGAGTCGGGTGCTCCGCCGTCCAGTCACCCCGCAGCCGAGCAGCATCCAGCTCTGACGCATACAGCGCCCCTTTGGCCTAGGCAGAGCAAGGACTGGAAGGGTAAGCAGGAGGGAGCAGCAGACGATCGGACAGCTCGTATAAAGCGTCCACCGCGTATTCCGAAGGCTAGTCGCAACCCTCTTGAGCATCGTACTTACCGCTTTGGCGGCCATGATGACACAAATTCGGAAGATGAGGTGTCAGAGCAAAGCCAGGCTAGACCAAGCAAGAATGCTCAGCTACAGTCAAAAGTCGTTAGCGGGAGGTGATGGCGATGATGTGAAGGTGCGACTTTGAGAGGAAGCGGAAGAAAAGCACAATGAGAATGAGCAAGCAAGTGGATAAAAAGCGAGTAGTCCCGAGTGCTTCGCGCGAGTGATCGAGGCAACGCGGGGGAAGAGGAGAGGGGGCGTGCGAGCAGGTGTGAAAGGAACGTGGGGAAGATGTTGCAGCTATAGGCTCTGACCAGTCACGGGTCAATGTAGAGCGAGACTACTTGATTGGCAGTCAAAGTGCCAAGTGAAGCTCGAATGCGTTACGCTGCTCATGTCCCACTTTTGCAAGTTATGAGACTAGCGTAGGTGCTGATGAGCAGCAGCTTATAACTATTGTACCGGTACCACCTACCGTACTGCATGTATCACTGCACCGCACCGCATCCAAGCAGCATCAAGCGGCTTACATTCGTGATTGCACTGGACTGAAAGCGCGGCGCGCCTGCTCAAACGCGGTCCACCTTCTCGCTTGCGCCTGAGACATGAATCGCGAATCATGGGCGTGTGTGTGTGCGTGTGAAGCACGCAGAAAGATCCAGCAGCGCTTCACGCGCGTGCAGCGTGCTGATGGTCATAGTTCGGCGGTGTGGCATTATGCCAGCAGCGCATACCGCTCTGTTGCTCTCATCTCAAAACGACAAGCATTTTGCTCATTCTCCGCCTACAGGGACACTCACGACTGCATGGGCTCATCCGCCCGGCATCGCGGACTTGCATCCCTTCGCGCTGCACGTCAATGCGGGGAAGAGACGATGATGACGCGCCAACAGACCACAGGAAGATCTATGGGCGGGCGCGGCAGCCGTGCTCGTGCTCGTGCCCCCCTGAGCCAAGTGATCGGCCCCTCTCACACTCTGACACCGAAGCTCGGGGAGCATGTGAGCAAGTTGTAAGTGGGACCAAGACCGAGGCTAATCGATCATGGCCCAATTGCTCGCACAGATCAGTCATCAGTATTTTCCGCCTTCCGAACATTCGCTCATCCACATTCTTGATTGGGATTCTTCCTTCCAGGCACCCGCTGCCACCAACCTCTCCGCATGTCGAAGTCTCGAGCCCTCGGCGTCTTCAACCCCATCATATGTCGCATTGTTAAAAAGATATAGAGCGCTCACACAACAGTCTCTCATGGGCTCATCACTCCGTCTGTCAATTGCTTGGCTTGACTGCCTGCAAATCCACTCATGATAGATACTCTTGACTCGGACGGTACCGGCCGCTCAGCCAGCTTCCTCAGCAGAATACACACAGGACCGCGAACCATGCAAATGATGCATGCTGCTGGGCGTGTGTTGGCAGGGCGGAGGGACGGACTCGCTGATCACGTGAGGACTCCTGGTGCAATCGCGATCACGTGTTTGTCCGGCACCGCGTGCACCGTGTGCACCGCGTGGGTCCGTCTGAAGACGGCGCTCAATCATTCACAATCAAGAACTGACCCGAGGCGAGGCTTCGGAGCGAGGCCGACCCTCGACCGTACGGCTGTTTTCACCATTGCATACATTCACGTTCGTAATACGTCCACGTTTCACTCATAGGTCATCGTACAGATGAGAGACATCGCAACACACGCTTGAAACGCGACAAAACCTGCGCTCTACGAGTCGTTTCGTGCAGCGAGGCTTGCATTCAGCCTCATTCGTTTGTCACCAAGCACGCAAGGCGAATCTAGCGCGACTCCAATCGCAGCAGGCGAGGAGCTGGTCTGAAAGCGCTTTGAGAGGGCGTCTAGTGCCGAAAGCGCACGATGGCTTACTACAATCGTGCGGGCGGATCGCAAAGGAGGGATGATCCCGATCCAGACGAGATCGAGCTGGTAAATTTTGACGTGAGTCTAAGCTGCACTCGACTCACGGCTACCTGCTCGTGATGGTGAAGCTGACCATCGGATGCCAAGCCTGCTTCAGGAAGAGTCTAGCAAGGATGTAATACTTTTCCTCATCGACGCTGGCAAGCGCATGCAGGACACTCTGGTCCCATCCACAGCAACAGAGAACGCAGTGCCTGGCAGCAGCCTCGGTGCGGTCAAGTTGGACGAGAATGCACCACGAGTCAGTCTGCTGCATCGAGCCCTGGAAGGCGCAGTCAGCCTGATGCGCAACAAGCTAGTCGCATCACCGCGAGATCTAGTGGGGATCATGCTCTATAATACGGAAGACACGAGCATGGCAGAGTTGGGAAAGACATCCATTTACGAACACACGTACATGGTCGAGCCGGTCGGCATGGTCGATATCGGCAATCTTGCAGGCTTGATCGATGATCTCGACCTGTCAAGGGAAGACCCTACCTACTTGCGAACCCGCTACAAGCCCATGGTCACCGAGATGCGCATTCATCATGCATGGATGAATGCAGGTGCCATCATCAAACAATACGCCAAGACGGGAAGCAAGCGCATCTTTTTTGTGACGCAGAACGACGACCCTTATGCCGGCAAGATGAATAGAGACGGGGTTGGAAGGCACTTGGCAGACATGGTGCGGGAGATGGCAAAGAGACAGGTCGAGTTCGAGCCTTTCCTGCTAGAGACGGACAATAAACCTTTCGATATCAGCAAATTCTGGGGCGTAAGTACGCACTGCGCTGAGTAAGCCTTCGTCTGAGCTCACTACGAAGCAACATGCGCCTTTCGGTACAACAGCCCATATTCGCTGCAGGTTTTCAAGATGGCAACATGTCTGCATCATCCATGTCTCGCTCGCAGACGCCGGCAGACCTTGGTCAGGGACCACGCGCGCTCAAGCTGGAAGATCTCGATGAACACGTCGCCAAGACTCACACTCCCAAGCGCGTCAATTTCCGTGGTCCAATGAAGTTCGGGAGGGGGTGCACCATTGGCGTCAAAGGGTGAGCAGTCATCGAGACGGGGTACCTTGGAGTCTACTGTTTGTGCTGCAACCTTGTGCCTCGCTTTACACCCACGCCTTTACAGATATGGGATGGTTAAAAAGGCCGAAAAGGGAAACCCAATCAAAGTGATGGAGGACAAGTCAGCCGAGTCAGACGGTGGACCCATGTCATATCTCGAGATTGACGTTCGAACCGAGCAGTGGTGCAAGGTAAGCGAGTTTGAGCCACAGAGGGTTAATGCATGGCTGTTTACCAGGGACATGCTACTCTTCAGGACACTGGACGCACGCTCAATCCGTCGGAGATTGAGACTGCCTTCAGCTTCGGAACAGACTCTTCTTTGAGATCCAAAGTGCGCTTCAGTCCGGCTGAGGTGAAGCGGCTGAGGACCTTTGGGCAAAAGCCGGGTCAGTAGGAGTCAGAGGATGAGTCGCTCCGCTGTCATTCTGCTCACTCTCGACGGATGCCACAGGCATTGAGATCTTGGGCTTCAAACCCAACACAGAGGACTCGCTGTCCTACCGCGACAATATCAAGATCTCCTACTTTCTCTACCCCTTCGACGAGGCGTGGAGAAATTCGAAGCGCTTCTTCAGCGCTCTGCTGAGCTCGATGATCAGGAAAAATGTCATGGCTATTGGCATCTTTATGCGCGTGCAAGGTCAACAACCAGTGTTCTGCGCTATTTTGCCACAGACCGAAGAGCGCGAGAGGGGCATTTCGCCCGGCATGCATCTCATTCCTCTGCCATTTGCCGACGATATCCGGGACCTGCCCGAAAAGCATGCTGGTGCTCTTGAGGGTGCGTATTGCTTGTCGGCTGTCAGCAAATCTCCCAGCTGACACATTGTAGAGTGATGAACTAGCTGAGCAAGCACAAGTCGAGGCGGCCAAGGCCATTATCAAGGCGTACAGCAAGGCGAAAGAGTTTCAGCCTGAAGACTTTCCAAATCCTGCTCTGGCGCACCATTACGAGGTCTTGATCAACACGGCGCTTGGAAAACCGCTACCGGGAAGCGGTGATATGGTGGATGCTACCATTCCAAATTACGCTGGCATAAAAAAAGTACGTCTTCTTGCCTTGATCGCCTATTGGCGTTTCGGAGCGACAAAAAAAAAAATGTCCTCACATCTAGCTCATTCCAAATCAAATCGTATCGTGGTCCATTAGCGCGTCGGCCCTCGCATCGCCCAGTTCAACGACTTGATAGGCAACGATGGACGAACAGACGTCGTTTTTGCCCCGAGCGGCAGAGGAGGTGCCGCTGTGGCGAGCTTCTCGTCAGCAGATCAAACCAAGCTCTTGGAGTGCCACGCCAATGAACAGATCGCAGCAGTAAGTATCGCAGTTCACGCTTTGCCCATGAAGATCGCTCATGCACTTGCTCTAGCTCTTGCGAACTCACCACTTGAATAAAATCCTTTCTTCCCTCGCCCTTCCTCAGATGAAGGTAGACGATCTCAAGGCTGCGCTTGATTTCTACAGACAACCAAAGTCGGGTCGCAAAGCTGAGCTGGTGGAGAGGTTGGAGCAGTACCTCGACAAGCTGGTCGCCAAGAAACAAGGTAGCGGCTAATCACACGGAGATCGACCGCAGTAACTTCCCGTCCAGACACGATCGCGCAATGGACACGATGTACAAATATCACTCGAGCACGAACAGCTTCATTCCTCACGCCAGCGTTGAGAGGACAACTTGAAATTAGATTTCGAGCTTGACTAGTGATACAGCTGATCAATGATACGGAAGCACGAGAATGCTTTGGGGATACGCTTGTAAATTTGAGGACTAGATCTAACCACGAAAGAGGCTTGGGATGATGGTGCATTGCGAGGCATTTGCAGGGAGGTGCTAGAATGAAGAAGGAAAAAGAGATGCACCGTCAAGTATGATGGTTGTTTCATTTTTCGAGCGCACACGTGTAACTTGTGTGACGGCCTCAGACCAACTGCTCAGGTGGGGTAAAGTGAGCAGGATTGATCCAGGCCAACGACTCGAACTCGGCGTTGTTCTTGCTCTGAGCCGAATGAGAGGCCGCGTGGGTCGCTCGGGGCGTGGCGATATCTTCGTCCGAGTCCGATGACTGCTCCGTCTCGGCCTTGTTGAAGCTAAAGTAGTCGTCCGAGCCTCGAGACATGGAAGAAGGCGCGCGGTCGAGAGGCGGAGCAGTGTTCTCGTCGACGACATCCAGAGCAAGGTCAAACGACTTGGAGAGTGGCGAAATAGGCGTCACTTCCCTCGTGGCGTTGTCGCTGATGGCGGTCAAGGGCGAAAGACGGTTGCGGGGTGAAGTATCGGCCCGATCGAAACGACGCCTCTTGACGTTCGTTGCGTGCAATTGTTCGCCTTCGCTCGTGTTGACTCCTTGCGAGCTGTCAAAGCTGCTGCTGGAGGTGAACCAACCATCCTCCCAGCGTTGAGGCGTTTGATCAGCCGTAGAGAGAGGCATGCCAGCTTGACGCTGACGGTACTGCTGATCAAATTCCGCTTGCGTTGCGACCGGCATCGAGTACGATCGAACCATGGTCCAAGATCGAGCTGCAGCCGCAGAGACGGTCGTAGGGTCCTTGATCGAGCCTTCGCTGCCGGACCTCACATACTTGATGGGCTGCATTGGCGTGCTGGCGCTGGCTCGTTGCAGTTGCTCGGCCTCTGGTGCCGGTGGCAGAGAAAGAAAAGGACACATGGGTGCCCTGCCTCCTTGACGGAGCTCGGATCCAGCGGCGACGTTGCGCCCGGCGACGACGGCACGGGTACCGTTCAGACGGTTGTTGATCTGAACGCGAGATTGATGAACTTCGGCATCTTGAGCCGAAGGCATCGGTCTGGCTACGAGAGGGGCCATGTCGCTTACAGCGCGCGCGCCGAGGGAGGGTCTAGCCATTGCGGTGGACATTGAAGAGGTTGCGATCTGAGTTATATATGCAGTGCAGTGCAAGTGTCGAGGATGAGATGATGCCTGGCGTAGCTGTCGTGTACGGTCGGCGGTTCGTATGGTAGTGCTGGGGAAGATGCGAGTGTTGAGACGATTCTTATGGAGTTGGCAAAGGTGCTCGAGCGGTCTCGGAACGTCTGATACGGAAAACTATGAAAGTGGCTGATGGGATGGTGAAGAAGCGTTATCGATGGTGAGGTAATCAGAGATGGCGATCGGCGATCGAGACTTCACTTCTTGTCGCTATCTGCAGCTTGTTCGGAATGCCAGTGGCGGAAAAGAGACGTCGACTGAAAGCGATCCCCCGAGTAATGCTAGGAGTGATGTGGTGCACGGTCCAATCTTCGTATTCAGGATCAGGCACCCGCAGGCCGACCCAGAAGGAGAGACACGCCAGAAGACGCTTGTGGCCGGGTCAAACGGCTATCGCGTACGCAGGTGCGAGTGTGAGTGTTATGCTCGATGATGTGGAGTGGCAGGGTGGCACTGCCGTGGATGTTGACAATGCCGTTGTGCAAATGTACTGCCGACCGTTGGGTTGGGATGCGTCGGCTGGTCTGAGCGTGGTGCACGTGTAAAGTGAGGGCTCACAGACGCGTGGCGCTGGTGCGCAGGTACAGTGGCTTGTTGGCTTGACCTACAAGGATTCGGACCCTGAGTCTGCGGATCGAGAGCTTCCGACGGTGGAAGCAGCGGGATTCGTCGGTTCGGTACGGCACGGCACGACGAGTGGGACTGTTCGAAGAGGCCTGGGCTTGGCTTTTGTCGGGGTGTGGAGGATATGGTAGTGTACGTCAATCGCTCCGAAGGTCTGTCTAGACTCTGTGCCTGGGTCTTGAGCAGGAAAAGAGTGTCGAGGAGGGGTGAAAAGCGGAAGAGATATGACTTGGAGCAGTGGATGTGCGACAGGTAACAGCAGAGATGTGCTGCTGATCTGCGTGGGTGAGTTGAGCCGGAAGGGATGAGAAGAGGATTGGGTCTAGACTTGGAGACGGCAGTCACGGTCGAGGATGGGCGTCGGATGTTGGAGGTGTGGCGGTCTTATAGCGGGTGGCTTCGCTCCAGCAGGAGTATGTAGCGCGTGTGTTGGACTCTCTCAAATCAGCAACAGCAACCACAGGCGGCGCGAACTTGACCATGCATGTGTGTGCAGCGTGCGGATAAAGAGGCGGATGATGGCTGATCGACCGTCTGTGCACGGAAACGAGCGTGCGAATGAGCGTGCGAGCGAGCAGACCATCCTCGACAGCGAATGAGCCTCATCGTACAAAGCATCCCCTTGCCCGCCCGTGTGTGGAAGATAAAGCGAGATCAGCGACCGACGCTGTGCACCTCGCCC